AGGGCAAGATACAGATCAGGGAATACTGAGGAACAGCCATAGGTCCAGGTAAGCAAGTGTAAAATTCACACCTTTCCAAATCGACTGTGTAGGTTATGTATTGTACTGCATACCCGCTTCATTGCGGGATACCTCAAATCACCCTCATATGTCAGGGTCCGCTAAATAGTTAAAATCAACCAAAGGGTAACATACGGGAAAGGGTGAGATTTAATACGGAGTACAGTGTCGGGGCTAGGGGTAGTAAAGACACAGTTAAGAATTAATTCAGGGAATGTTCCACGAGAGTCAGGATATTTTGGAAATTGCTAATAGAGACAGATTCCTGTTTCAGGTAAGAATTGTTAATGTTATTGAGGGATGTTGATTGAAATCGGACGTCGTGAAGTAAAAAATTACAGGTTCTTCCCGCAGGATATTCGGGGCCATGATTGATCGCTCGGGATTAATGTGCGGACAGATCGTAGCTAACAAACTGAACCCAATTGAACCTAGTTCCATAACCAATCAGCTTAATTGGTTTAGGGTTAGGGTGGGTTAGGGTTTAAGAGTTAGGGTTTAATTATGTCTAAATTGGGTTCAGTTGTCCGGTTAGCACGCTCTTGCGAAAGTGACATTCTAAGCTTTCTGGTCTTATCTTGCCTTCTTTGTAGCTGTCAAGAGCCATGAGACCAAGTAGAACGGTTTTCGTGATAAACTGTAAAACATCTCCATATCGGGCCTCTCACGGGAGAAACGATAAGTGTACGGTATAGAAGGTTTCATATCCTCATTAAGGGCAATAATATTAATATTACATGTGTTGCATTGTTTCGTATTGTGATTGAATATAGCTCGATATGATTACTACTTACATCACCACCAAATGCGATATGAAAACTCGGTTTGTATTGTTGAGGAAAAGAAGAGGTCTCTGGTTAATTGGTATACAAGGTAAGCCGGTTAGATTAGCACAATTGACGTACAGAGATGTCTTATTTATTAAAAATATGTGAATATCTTAACCCACTGATTCTTCATGGAATCATAAAATGGACAGTACAGCAGGCTATCGTTTCGTCTTGACTGTGCCATTGGTGCGTTTCTGTTGAAAATCGCATAGGCTGTATTGTCTTTAGTTATGACACTATTATATCGCGATCGTATGGTTAAACTTATCGTTTTTTCAGTTTCAGACCTTTCACTTAGAGTTGTAATTCCTTGATTATTACTAAAAATCTGCGAGATTTACTTAACTGAACTCCAACTACAAATATTTGTGATTTATGTATTCTTGAAACGAAAAATTGACTAAGTTTTTTTTGAAATCATTTTTTCTCCGCTTTTTCATGCAATTTGATCACTTTTGCGGAAAAAAAATATTTTGAATTTTCGAAATTTTTTCTCAGTCTCGAAAAAAAATTAGTGAGTGAAAAAAACAATTTTCAAATTTTTTCTTCTAAAAACTACTTTTCTCGTGTTCAAGCTTTTCCGATCATTTTTTGTCCATAAAAAATTTTTTAGAATTTTGCTAATTTAGATAATTGATAATTATCATTAACTTATTATCTGACGTTAAAATTGTTCAACAACAGTTTTTCTTCCCGGATAATTGAACACACTCGATGATTCGCAACCTTTTACGATGTTCACACACTAAAGATATTCGACAAACAAGAAAAGGTGGTAAAAGTGGTAAAGGGGCAAAAAGTGGCCCTTTAAGACACGTGGAAAAGTTTGGAAAAGTTGGTCAGCCATAAAGGCACTAATGGGGACGCAAAAACGTCAAAAATCCTCTGAAAGCTTCGACCTGTGCAGCAGATCGATTTTTTCAGGGACGGATCGTCTGTATATTTTACACAGGTTGATAAACACTATAAGCAAGTACCATGTGTAGATATTACCAAGTGTAGATAATAAGACACAGTTCACTATTTGACATATTCTTTGCAATCATCTCCTGTATAAACCGGTTCAATTGTATTTCTTAAAGCAAACATTCGTATAACTTATTCCTAACTCAGTGCATGATTATCACTTAATGACTTCACTATAGGGTAATTATAAATTAGTAAATTTACCCTCACCGACAGAGTAGTTGTTACTAGTTATTATAATGGGTTACTAAATAAGTAACGTTCCAAGGTGATATAAATTATATTGTAAAGAATTAAATCCTATATTTAGACCTAAGTTTGTCTGATAAGACATGTAATACACAATGACACTTATTTGAGATGTTACCATTGTCATTAAAGTCTTAATAGTCATTAGTAGTCATTAATAGTCACATTAGTCTATAACAGTCTCGGTAAACCGGGGTCTCGTTACAATTGATAAAACTAGTCACATTACGTAGAGGTGCAGTGTTTACTAGCTTCTAATGAGGAACAACTCCTTTCCAGGACTGACCAGCGGAGTATGTATAAACGGAGGTCTGCAGGGCGCAGTGTTTATATATAAACAGTCTTGGGAAGTTTGTATAAAACTACCGGTCCCGCAGGCGCGTGTTTTATATAAACAGTCTAGGACAGTAGTATATAAATACTAACAGGTCCGCAGGGCGAGTGTTTATATATAATCAGTCTAGGAAGTATTGTATAAAGTAAGTCCGCAGGGCGAGTTGTTTATATATTAAACAGTCTAGGAAGTATGTATAAACGTAAGTCCGAAGGGGCGAGTGTTTATATTATATTAGCGAGGCTGCGGTTGAGAGATATTTAAAGTTTGGCAGTACAAGAGTGCAGGGACATCAAGACGTTAAGCGAGGTAGCACTACAATTACATGTAGTGTTACGTACGTCTAGCTAGTGCACGTTATAGGTGTAGTGTTAGGATGAGGATTCATGTGCTCAAGGTAGATGACTTGGACATGTTAATGAGTGATTTATTTTTTATTTCTCCCCTTTTTTAAAACTTATTGGTAGTTCCAGCTAAGTTGCAATTAGGTTGATAATTAGTACAGTACGAAGTTACTTTAACCACAGTAAATGGTCTGCCATGTATGTGTTAACCAAACAGGTTCCATGACCCTGATACCTTATATCCCCGAGAAACACGATTTGAAAAACTAATCTACATTGTACCCTAAGGTCACTCTGTGTAATCTTATAAAGTATTCTTATCAGTTCTGAGGAATTAGGATTCAGTTAAAAACTAACAGCTCCCCCTTTATGACGTCAGACAGTAGGGAGACAAATGATGTGAAATTATAATGGACACAACACATCTTAAATTTAAGTAAGGAGTAATCTAACTCGGACCAAATCTCAGCTCTTTAACGAGTTTGTATGTACTCGATAAGGAGTCATATTTTAGGCGTAGGATTACTAATAGTCTGTTGGTAATGAGTAGGATTACGTATTGCTGTAGGGTTACTAATAGTTAGTTAGTTTGTGAAATGTGGCATAATTATGTTATTACTTGGCCCCATCCAGAAAACGCCATCTTGCCCAGGCAGCCTGGGAGGAATTTTTTTGGGAGGAAAAACGGGTCGAGAAAAAGAGGAAATTTTTGAGAAAGTTACTCCTAAATTTCGAATATTTTTGGAATAAGACACCATAATGAGGAAAAATTTTGAGAAAATGTTTCGCTTGTATAAAAATCAACGTGGAACATCTGTCAGTTTTGAAACACAGTGAAATATTCTGATTGGAGAATGCAGATTGCTGTTGTGAAGTTACCAAATTTACGTTGAGTTACTTGATTCTTTTCACTCCCAGTTTATTGCTGTCCTACAAATTTCTTTAAATGCATAATGTCGTCTAAAAAACACCCTATTTCGCAAAAATTTTCCGGGGGGCTGCGACCCCCTAGCCCCCGCCAAGGGGCTCCGCCCTGGGACCCCGCTGGGGGCTGCGCCCCCATACCCCTGCCTCAGCACTGCTCGCTGCGCAGTGGATTGGCAGCCCCCAAAGAAAAATCCGGCTACCGTCCCTGGCTCGTGAATTGGTCCTGTGGTTAAAAATTTTCGAGTGAAAAACTCGAGCGGGCCACAGAAAAAAGAGGCAAACTTGCGACCGGGCCACAGGATTTAGAAAAAAAACGCTTCTGTGAGGAAATATAAAACTTTTCTGGATGTGGGTTACGTGGGGAAAAATTTTTTAAAATTTTTTTATTGAGTGTGGTAAAGTCTAGGTAGCTGGCAAAACAGTGAAAATTTGGCAAAGTATTAAAAGGAAATGTCTGTTAGTATAGATAAACATATCAGATTAGTAATTCTGGTTACAACACTGTAAACATGGAAATTGCTTCATTTTTCTCCAAAACTAATCCAGAAATTATAGCACATTTGCCAAGTAATTTGCTACTCAACAAAAAATTGTATAATTTCCACGACAAAATGATTTCCTATATTATCAAAAAAAGGTCATGGCATAACGAATTATTCAGTTCCTAAAAAGAGTATCGTACATAACTAATAACTATACAGCGATAGTATATAAATACAAGTATGATAGTAGGTAAAGTATATTAAGCACACACATTGTTAGCGATGATGTGAGATTACAAATTAGGATAATTACAACCCAATTTATCCATAATGATAACGTTGACACACGACACAGTACTAAGGTTACTGTGTTTGAGATAGTATAGTAGTAGTGTACTATAACTTAATAATATAGTATAGTAGTAGTATAGTAGTACTATAACATAGTAATATAGTAGTGTAGTAGTAATATAGTAGTAATATAGTATAGTATGGTATAGCAAACTGCTAAACTAGGTAGTATATACAGCATAGCACGCGACATTACATTATAGACTGTTGAAGTAAAATGTAGAAAGTTTCAGACTTTTATTGTGAAATATGAAGGTTAAAACGAGAATTTTATAAAAAGTTATTTTGCTATTTGTTTGAAGTTAAATAAAGCCAATAGTATAGTATTAGCTGATGATACAAACGGAAAATAATACAAACCCATGCTTTTAGCTATTAATTTCAACAAAATAATCAATAAATTCATAATGAGATAGAGTTAATTAATTAAGCTAATTATACTAATTAAATTATAAACCTGAAGCATGGTAGCAGCTCCTCTGATATTAGCTCTGTTGTTATTGTTATTGTTATTGTTAGCTGCGACTCTCTGTTGTCCTTGATTCTTCCTCTGGGCCAGATTACCCTGAAGAGAATAATACCATATTAATAAAGTCAGAAAGTATAATTACGTAGTTAGGTTAAAGTTACATAAATTAATCTTATCATACTCGTAAGTGTAGTGATTTTGCGGTGAGATAATGCGGTGTACTATCTGGATTATTCACAGGAGCAGATTTGTAATTTTTAGCGCTGATGATATATCTACTTATGAAACTTTAAGTTTGTTAATCTATTCTTTTCGTCAATTTATCAGCTTTTATTTGCTCTTATTTACCCTGTACTTGTCTCCATAAACAAAATAATGTACATTTTATCTTATCTTGATATCGAATACATTGCACCTCTGTATCGGGACCAGTGTCAAAAGAATACCTTTACTTCGACGTATAATGTATATAATATATTATATATTATGTTGACACACTCACAATTCACATGATATAAAAATGATATAGCTCCAAGATATTTGACTATGAGCAGAAATTCAGAAAAGCGATATTAATACCCAATATTATATTGAAACGAGTAGAGGCCTCAGCTCGTGTGATAAGTCATTATCTGGAATCGTGGGTTAAGTAAGGCAGTGTAAGGCAGTATTGAACAATGTGTAACTCATTACAGTTTATAGTGTATTATAACTCATTACAGTTTATAACCGTGTGTAACTCATTACAGTGTCAAACACAAGGATATAACTTGTGAACTCGGCTAGTATATATGAAACATTTGTCATGAAGTTGTAGAGGGAGTTATGTGCCTCGCCGGGCTAAAGTAGTGGATGACCTTGCTGTACGGCAAGTTAAACAAGGATCTGAAACTACTAGGTTCCGTACAGACTCAACTCTGCACCCGTGTCAATATGTTCATTATATGCAAGCCTCTTGATTTATAACTCATTACAGTGAATAACCGTGTATAACTTATTACTCTACCCACAATTTACATAAGTGCGCTTACTCTAAAGTGGTACTCTATTTTGACTTCCCTCAGTACATACCAATCATACCAACATTAGACATTAGACAGTGAACTCTTATCTGAACAGTTCGCTTATCATCTGTACAATTACGGCATGAGGTTACAGTCTAATTACACTGTCACTTCTGACTACTCCTGTACAGTGTTAACTATGTCAGATAACGGAACATGATATTACTTGTGTGATATACTGTCTTGTAAGAGAGTTCACTATGTGTTACTACACTATAACTACACTATAACTACACTCAACTACACTATAACTACACTATAACTACACTATAACTACACTATAACTACACTCAACTACACTATAACTACACTATAACTCTCTAGCTAAGACTCTAAGAGCAGGAAGTAACGGTAACCAGTAAAACTAAGACAAATTTTCGAACTAGTAGACTTCATTCTTCAGAAAAGCTGTAAGTTCTTGAGAACATTATAAAGTGAACTGAGACATTTGGAAGAAGTTTACACGTGACTTTAAGTAAGCATTTGTTGCGTAGAATATCTATATCCCACATAATAGGGAACTCATTATTTTTCAGGAGCTTGATGCTTGCAATTTATATATCCAGAGTATCAAAGTAAACCTTCTCCTTCTTATCAATAAAGAAAACAGTCATTCACATCTTATGATTTCAATGCACGAAGACACGCAACAACTCGCTAGTACATAATGTATAACTAATTCTTGGTAACGGTAAATCATCACACAGCCTGACACTACACTCAGCCTGGTAAAGTACACTTGAATTATAGTCTATAGACACCACATAATATACGGTTGGGACAGCATTCAGGAGACAGTCTTATTATATGACTAATATATGGGACCAATCATAATATGACTAATTATGACGCATACAAAGATGGTGTTATGACTAATTACAATGACTAGTACATTAGACTTATTATAATGTAACCATTGTTGCGTGATGAGAAGTTGAGTGAACTATCAGAACACGGGATGCAGGATCTTATTTCAAGGGGGGAGCGAATGAATTATAGCAATCTACAGTGTAATCATTTACTACTAGCATTTAACTATTATGTAGTCTTAATAATTGTGAGTCGCAATAGAATGGATCGTTAGTAACAATTTGTGACTAACGATCCATTCCACTGACAAACTTTAAAGTTTGGCCCAATAGACCGGTTCAGAATCAAAACATTCGGGGTAAATTTTTCGGAAACCAGTTGAGACTTGGGATTCATGACATTGTAGGATGCCAATATGTACTAAATTCCGGACCAGGGAACCAGGAACACCTGTTCCTTTTAACAGGAAAGAGTGGAACATATGATACAGTGTTTAGTAGTCGTTTTTGTACCAACCAGGGGCTGGCGTTCCTTACTATTCAACATTTGCAAACATTCTGATATGACGGACTGACTTGTACTGAATAACAGTATTGTTATTCTACTGTAATTTCAAGTTCTTAGAGCCAGAGGGCACATAGTCGTGGCTAGGGTACAGTAATACGGTTACTGCTGCATTCTGCAGAATAATACAACAGTTAAAATATTGACATTTTCTGCTCGAACTCTACAAGTTAGCCAGCACACTTGTTCTTGACGTGTAGTAATGAGAGTAATATGTTAAAAGTTGTGGGATTTTGACACGGAACTCAGCGACTCGTGCGATTCCAGTTTTACCAGGTAAAAGCATGTTAGCAGGAGAGAGCTGAGCTGAATGATATGGACTATGGTTCTCATAAAGACTCTTTGACCAATTTCTAAGGTTACATTAATTATATGGTCAAAAATGGACCAAAATAAATTTAGATATCTCACCCATCCCCTTATATTAGCTCAAACTACATTAAAATGAATTCCTTCTGTAACGTCCTCAATAAATGCAATAGATTATATTAATAATATTGGGTAAGTAGCTTGGTTTGATTTTAATGGCAAATACACAGTGAGAAATACAGTTGGGCATTGGGCAGGACATGTTACCTACCAAGCAATGCACCCCAGACAACTATAACCGACTTACTAATTATATAATTAATTATAATAGGTAATGCTAATTAATCTTAAACCCTCTAGATTGGACAAACAATACTGCATGTAAGGGACAGACCATTGCGGTCTCTTGTAGGCTACTCTATCCATTGTTTGTATTGGACGGTACACAGTTAAATAAACTTGAGTATTAAGTGAACAACAGTTAGGGTCGGTTAAATGAATTTGAGTATTGAGTGTACAGCGGCTAGGGACCGGTTAAGAGGGCTGTAGTATAGCGGCTAGGGGTCGGTTAAGAGGGCTGTAGTACAGCGGCTAGGGGTCGGTTAAGAGGGCTGTAGTACAGCGGCTAGGGGTCGGTTTAGAGGGCTGTAGTACAGCGGCTAGGGGTCGGTTAAGAGGGCTGTAGTATAGCGGCTAGGGGTCGGTTTAGAGGGCTGTAGTACAGCGGCTATGGACCGGTTAGGAGGATTGCTGGTTAATGGTCCTATAAAAGTAGAGTACGTGATTTTAGTGGATTTCATGTTAGTGGAGGACTGGGTAATGATGAGGGGATTAATTTGGGTGGAATTACAAATACAGGAGGAGCCAGCCAGCCAGGTTCAACATTAAAATGTTCCAGAATTATTCAACTGTTTGAAGCTCATATTTCTACAAAAGTCATGCCTCTAAGATGTGTTAATCTAACTGTAACGCTTACAAAGCATTCTTTCCATAACAGGACTCAGTTGCTAACATTTACTTTAGAGTGTTTAGTTATTTATCCTGTGAGTCTTGTAAAACTGGCTGTTACTATACTTATAACACTATTCTACTTCACTTATTTCGTCACCTACTGAGCTCTGAGTTACAATAAAAGGTAACTCATAGTTACTGTAAAGCTATAATCTTATAGCTTTACATTTTTTTTGAATGCTTTGTTCACTGTCAAGAAAACAACAACTTTTTAAGTCTAGCTACCATTGTTTATAATCAATTATTCAACATCATTACAGTTCCAATGGTACATACGAGTTCAATTAGCTTTGAAGAAGCTGTTATACCCCTAAAATCAAGGAAATTTGGTGATTTGTGCACATGAGCCGGTATAATTAACCTCATTTCTCATACATTTACCATCTGCAATACCCATAAAATGTTTGATACTGCAGTATAAGGTTTAGTTCATCGATTTGTATCCAACTTAATCACCAGGTCTGACTTTAAACGGTAGAAATAGTCAGGAAGTTCAATATATGATGTGTATGCAGAATGCGCGCGCGCGCGTTTACAAACATGAATTTTCTCCCTCAGTATCTATCTAAAGCTTTTAAAGAATGATTTGAATGCTATCCTACTCAGCACATGAGTGCTACAGGATGGTGAAAGAATTTCTATAAAAAATCATTAAATGTGGAAGATATGAGGTCATTATATGTGTGTGTGCGCGCGCGCGCGCGTTTACAAACTTGATATCCTCAGTCCTCTCACATATACTGAGATTTTGTTTCAAACTTAATTGACTCTGAACCGAAATTGCCAGAGGAAACAGATAGTGTAACTCAGAAAGACCACAAATGGATAGTTTGTGAGATATTGAGGATATACTCCAAATAATTTACAATGATGTCACACCAGAAAACCTCTATTTTTGGTACATTTAACCTCATATCTCGAACGCGCAGTACTGGATTGAGCTAAACTTGGTCAGGTTTTGTAGCCCTGACTATCCTCTATCATATGGAACAGGAATAAAACTGTTTAGATGTTCTATCTTAATTATATTAGGCACTTAGTTCTGAAAAGTGAGAATGTCATTAATACTGCTTTCACTGAAGAGTTACTCAAAGTTACAATTTACTACTATAGAAAGTTCAGTAGAAGCGTTATCAGAGGTTATAAGAGGTGCGAACCTCAGAACAGGGGCCCCCAGAACAGGCAGGGCTATTTTTAAATACCGCTCTAAAACACATGATAATAAAGTTTCTGTGACTGAGAAGATGAAACCATTAGCTCTCTAGTGTGAGTAAAAATAGATTTGGGGAGTCGAGAGTGGCCAACCTGTGCTATGTCATTTATATAATTATCCCGGCCCGCTAAATCAATATTACACACATTTTGAGCTATCACATCCCGACGACACCCCATCTCGTCACTAATATTCAAATATTTCTGTAACAGAAAGTCTCCCAGTACAATAAGCTGACTTCTAGAATTGAGAGTAAGTAACACAGTGCACTTTAGTGCCACATAATTTATACAGGTTTACAAAGGTATACAATGATAGCTAGTCGCTAGATCTATAGTATATATCATTTTAAATTTACAGAGAGAAGTAACCAGAACGAACTTCTTATTGAACTTTACCAGGCTGTTAAGGAATATTCTAATGGATTTAAACTTTATATATGATACTACATTATAACCAGTTTAAAACCAGCTTAAGAACATACAGTTTGCAAACACAGTGTTGAGGTTACGGTTAAAACATTTTTGGAGATAAAAATCTACACATTTGATTAAATATACTTCGTAATGTTGGTTGACTCTACTTTGTGAGGTTGACGGAACAGTCTAGAACATTTCCCCACACAAAGTCAGATCACCAACAAACCTGCCTGGTGACCACGTCTGTTGCTTGTTGACATTACTCACACGTGACCAGGTAGAGAACATTACTCACGCTTATGTGTGAGTGTAAGAGAACGTCATGGTGACGTATCAGGAGAAACTACTCCAAAAATACTAAAAACCTGACAAATTTGGTATGCACTTTGGTTACTTAACGGTTTACAAGAAGTCGTAATATACGGAAAACTGGATTAATATGGCACTTCAAAAATTGTTGAGATAATCCAGTGGTACGTAACTATATAAGTATAGTATCTTACTTATTGATAAGACTTGTTTGAGTGATTGGGGGGGGGGGGGGGGGGGGGCGGCAATGGCATAAAATGGCTTAAAAGTGGAGACTATTTCTTGGAGGGAAAATGGAAAAAACCTATGAGTAAGTTCTCCCTTTTGAATGAACCATCACACTAAACGGTCCTAAATTACCCGCTGTTACTTTACAACGTTTTGACTTCTTTAAAACGCGCTAAATCACAATAATTTTAAATATAATATGTCGAAGTAATGATGTGCGTGTCACTTGTCAGTTTCTGAGAGTGTGTTATAATTATAATAATGTAGACTTCTGCAAACATAGCATGTTTATACATGTAACATGTTCAGGGAAATAGATTGTGAGTACAAGCTGAGATCAGGCAGTGTCTTACAATTAATAGTGTTGTGAAATGAAATTGGCGTATGGTGTGCCGGCATGTATTTTCGAGGCGAGCCGCGAGGCCGCTTTGTTTTTACACGTGACATTTGATCAAATATATGATTGGTCGTTGTACAAAGATGATTGGGATCAAATTTGAGTTATTGGCTGTCACGTTTCGTGTCATGCTCCAGAACCCATCCCAGAATCAATTCCGGAATCAGTTTCAGAATCCCCCACACACAGCTTATCTGACAGTCCACTTGAAAGTGAGGAGGTTACTGAAGATAAAGTATCAGAAGATGAGGAAGATCTGGTTCTAAGCTTCAAAACTGAACTATCCAAACATACTGAAGCTGAACAAGTTGTTGACAGTGACATTGAAAACATATTTTCAGATGAAGAAGCCAATGAACCTGTTGAGTTTAACACTGGTGCTGATCCTGCTTTAGGTTTCTTCGCAAATCTTCTGTTGAACAGCCAGTTCTATCCAGGAACAATCCTCGGACTAATCTACATAATTGCTTGTTTAATTCAATTCCTCCCCTGTTATGTGACTGTGCCCTGTGCCATCTTGATTACTGTACTTGGATACAAGTTTTTCCCCGCCCAGAATGTTGACTCCCAGAAGAAGTTAGATTAGAGTATTAATCCTTTTCAGTAGAAAATTGTAAATTATGAGTTGATGATTTTAATTTTTAAAATTACCATGATTTGAAATTGTAATTTTTCATAATGATATTTTCATGGGATCACTCACCGGTTTTTTCACAAGAGAGGTGGTTTTACTGTTACAACTGCACTGACCATATGTCGTAAACATGATGTTAATTATGTATAATTATTTTCCCGGTTTTCTGGCGTTGATAGTTTATAATACTGCATTATGATGTTAATAGTATAAGTTATTGAAACTGTCTTAAAACGTTTTTTGATACAACCTGCAATTGCGACTAAAATTTTCAATTTTACAAACACTGAACGAAATTTTAGTTTCAATTATTTGAAATGTGCTTATTTAATTTTTATTCTTAATCAGGCTGTATTATAGACTATGAACACCATAATTACTTGAACCATAATATAATAAAATCCGAATTTATTAAATATTTTGTTCAAAGATATAATTTTTCATTAAATGTGTTTGTAATGTACATTGTACAAATGACCAGTTACTGCTTCAAATAACCAATAACTAAGCTCAAAACAAGACATCTTCCTTGAATCACAAGTTGGTTTATCGCTAGTAAAATTGCGTTACCGATGTCATGACTTTTGATAAATTTCTTTGGAATTCTTAATCTTTCTTAAGAAAATGATTTTCATCAATTATGACTTTTAACCGGTTGACCTTTTACTAGAGTCAAGTGTAAAGACAATTCATTATGGGAAACGAGAAGATCAACATGGCTTTAGGTAAGAGTCTTGTAGCACTTTTGACTTTTTGGCCAAGTTGTACTTTGAAATTTTACTAGTTATAGTTTTAACTAGAAGTTATGGACTGTATCTTATACGACTTGAAATTCTCCTGATGTTTGAATCAAACGGAAAATTAAGGTAGTTCAATTCTGAAAACTGCTTTTCTACTCCAGCAGATTTTATTTTATATTCATAGTTGGCACTCAATTGCACTGTTGCAGTTGTGCAGAATTAATCAGATAATTTAAAATAGCTTAAACAATTATTGAACCCATATATCTGTGAGTGACTGATTAATACCCCTCTATAATCATGTATCTCCTAATATCCCATATCCTCAGCAGGAGTAAAGTGTGGGGTGGCAACTTGTCTGTATTTGGGTGGGGTTCACTGCATAAACTGCCTCGTCATATCCGTCATTAAAACTGTGAGCTGAAACAAGCATAGCTGTGATCCAAACAATGTTATGAGTGGATCTGATGTCATTGATTTTCACAAAAAGTCGATGTTTGATGAAAACTGCAACTCAGTTACCTTTAATCATAGAGAATATTTTGCTACCTGACTAGTACCTAACTCTGATGATGTGCATGAGTTCTTCACTAAGGTTTCATCCGGAAACTGCTCCATTTTCTTGAGCTGAGGTTAAGGTTTCATCCGGACACTGCTTCATGATGAGATTGGATCATCCTGTCGAAGCAACCTCGTCTCTAAACTGCTACATTTCATCATTCTGCAAAGGCTCCATCATCCCCAGGCTGTCAACTTATCTCCGAGAAGAACTGAAATCTATCATAAGAGCCTGGACACTGATCTTACTTACTTTGGGAAATCAAGCTCCAATTTAAACCTGCCCATTTTACGGAAGTATTTGAGGGTATAAAACGGAACTACTAACTCTGGGTTTCCAATCTCAGTATCTCAACTTCTTACACCTTTGGACCTCTTTCCTTGGTTGAAATCCTGCAAAAACGCATCTGAAAAGAAGTTTGAGAGAAAAATTGTCTACAATTTTATAGGTAAAATATAGTGTTTCTTGGTATAAACGGAATGAACCGAACGGATGCCTGTTTCAAGATCGTCTCTAAAAAAGCATATATTTTTGATGCGCAAGCCTACTGCTCTGAATGGTTAACCATTCATCATGACATTTTCATACAAGTATCATTGAATCTGAATTAATATCAGTGTCTTTAAATTCAACGGTCATGACGTCTTATTTATGCTAAAAGCTGATATTCCTGATTTTTGCCTTCTGAATGCGGACCCTCCAGCTCCATTATCTATCAGAATATGTTATGTTGAAAGTAACGAAACAAACTCATTGATGAAGAACGAAATTCTCCATGCTTTATAACTTTCTTTATCCTGTGATCCATCCTGTGCTTACTGAGATCCATCCTGTGCGTCATTTTGTGCTTCATTTTGTGCAGTGAACCCCTACCCAATATTGGCATCTTCTTCGTCACCTAAAGCTTGATATTAGAGCATACTTTTGTTATCTTAATATGTCACAACTATTGAAAATAGTGACAGGCAGGCACCTGTTCAGTTTGACTAATTTATCTAATATATCGGTTGAAAGCAAGGCTAAACTTGTATAGCTTGCTTGTTGCAAGCAACAGCTAACCGTTACTACTGATTGGGACAGTAGATAGTTTTAAGATGCGTTCACATGTATACATGTGTACAGATACTTATGTATCTGTTATACCGTAATACATCATTGCTCGAGGAGTAAGCAATCGATGATGAAACAGATAAATCTATTCGAATATATGCGATGTTTTTAGAAAACAAGTCAACTGTATCGCAAACTGGTTACCAGTCATGCAATGATAACACAGCAAAACTAAGCTACCAATATCACATTGCTGTCCCCCGGGAATTGACGTGGTCAGCCTGTCTACGGAAACTAGCTTTCTAAACGATAGACAAATAGTCCTGATTGATGTGCAGTTCCTGATTATCAACGCTACGTGACGTTTTTACTGATTCTTCAACACTACAAGACGGAGAAAGATTCTACTTCAAAGACTTATCGATAGAGGTTTCAAAGATGTTACTACGAATGATAAGTTGTTTACTGACGATTGTATGCAGATACAGATACGAGATGCGTTTTAAACTCCCCAGACAGTATACCTGAAATAACAACTTCAACGACCAAGCTTGACGCCATAGTTTTCAACTCTCGTAAAGTTGCAAAAACCCAGGATACCGCAACTAAAAATGGTGTTCTCAGATGGAACGAAGACTGCTCCTTATAAAGATCTTAAGAGATGTAAAAAAGATACGATGATAGAAGCCTGTTGAGCTTTGTTCCTGTTGTTTTCACGTTGTCGACCATGACATGATCAAACTGTGGATTTGGTGATCATTTCTCTTCTTACGATGAGCCTTGTAATGGGAAGGATGCTGATTGTTCTTGTTACAATTGGATATCTGATAGAAGACTCATTGATAGAGGAACCAATTCTATCCCGCTAACAAAAACTTGCCTTTTCTAAAGAATTACACGGATACCTACCACTTAGTCACGGTCTAAAGATCGATACTTTTTTATCCGATCAGAGATGTTCATAAAGATGTACAGAGGAGAATGCTCAACATGATGAATTTCCAAGAATGTTCAACAGGGAATGACATTTCGGAAGCCTAATCGAAGCGTTTTCCCGATTACTGCAAAGAAAAGTATTCTACCTGTTCCTAACTTAGCTACTTCAGACTCCTTGATAGGGTAATGAAAGGCTCTACACCGACTTTCATGAAAATGTTGTGAACGAAACATCTCCCCTTCGATAGGAAACCTTGCCAAAGAAGGACGCCGTTCACATCAGTTTATCTGAGATAATATCGCTTGATCTATCCTGTGCCGGATGCCTACAGTAATTCAGCGCGAAAGATTCTCAACGATCGTCTCTCTCCCATTCTCAAGTTTATTTGTCGTCCCATAGTTTATTGGAGGTTTGTTACATGCACCACATTGTAAATGTTTAAACCTAATTAAGAGTGTGTCATTTCCTTTTTGTATTATATGTGATTACTAATTACTAATTAGGGTATTAATACTTCCCGAGATGCAATCTTTCATTTTTATAGCTGGTAAAAATTTGATGGATTGCATGCTGATTAGTAATAAGCAATAAGTTTGTCCCCCAGAAGCTTGCTTGATATTTATTATTTAACGGTAATCTAATAACTTTAACTCACTTGCTGCACTGGTGTTATGTGAGATGGAACATTTTTGCTGAGAAATTAGATCCTTCTAGTCTAAAGGATTACCACAGCTCCTGTATTCTTACTATCCAAACTACTGAAAAGTCGAAATTGTTCCATCTCACCTAAAATTTAAATGGCAGACCTGATCCCTATGACTGTGTCAACCTCAGATGATATCATCAAGAAGGACAAGAAGAGTTTCAAGGTGTCCAGGGGTGGTGCTGTCGTTAGAGGCCGAGGTTTGTTGTGTCTTTAGTTTAATGTTTATTGAACTGTTATTTTTATTGGTTATAAGTCTTCACAGTTATAACTTATAATTGTAGTTGGGCTACAAGTTTACGGCAAGAAACTATTTGATATTATGATGTGTTGAGGATCGTTTACATATTTTGGGGGAGGGGGTTTGGAAAAGATTGTAATTTGTGTTAAGTGACTTACGAAGGGGAAGGGGGGTTTAAAACGGACAAAAATGGCTTACGTATTACGCACTCCGCATTCAAAAACATACTTTTATTAAAATACCATTACTTTCAGGTGGAGCCCGTGGTAAAGGTAAACAAGCAGTAGTCAAAGCAAACAACAACAACAAACAAGGCCCAAATAGTTTTAAGGGTGTCGCTAACAATAACAGAGGCAAGAACGTTGCACGAGGTGGAGGTCGCGGAGGTACAGTTATTACATTATTATATAATACCCTGCTTTCGTTAATTTAATAATCTAATTTATCAACACATCAATAATCTATTAATTTCCTAGTTATTAAGTTATTTAATTTAGGATGACTTAAGGGGGCCGGGGGGGGGGTCTTCATCAAAATTCTCTCGAAATTGACTTTATAGTTGTTTCTGGTAGAAGGGAGTGATATCTACCAGCTGCTCATGCTTTTAGTCCCATGGAAAAATATTGTTCCTAGCCGAAATTATCGCTGGTCTAAGGTCAGCGCTTATGTGTAATTGTATTGCGCGAGCGATTTTCAATCGCAAATTCTGAAAATCGAGTCTAAAAATCTATCTTCTCCTAGATTTTTTGAGCAATTACCCTGAAACTTTCAGAATATGTTCTAAGGACCATTTAGAAGAGATCGTTCAAGCCAAAATTTTGAGATAGGCCTTTAAAAATTTTTTATTAGTTTTTGAAAATCTTGGACCTGAAAAAATCGTAAAAAAACGAGGTCCAAGATTTTCAAAATTGAATAAAATTTTTTTAAAGGCCTATCTAACAATTTTGGCTTGAACGATCTCTTCTAAATGGTCCCTAGAACATATTCTGAAAGTTTCAGGGTAATTACTCAAAAAATCTAGGAGAAGATAGATTTTTAGACTCGATTTTCAGAATTTGCGATTGAAAATCGCTCGCGCAATACAATTACACATAAGCGCTGACCTTAGACCAGCGATAATTTCGGCTAGGAACAATATTTTTCCATGGGACCAAAAGCAGCTGGTAGATATCACTCCCTTCTACCAGAAACAACTATAAAGTCAATTTCGAGAGAATTTTGATGAAGACCCCCCCCGGCCCCCTTAAGTAGAATCACGCATGTACTAAGCAGGATAACGCAAGTAGGATCACTTACCTGTACCCACGTAGTTTTGTACTCATTTAGTTTTGTTGTGTAGGTCGCGGTGGTCGTGGTGGGATAAACAGAGCCAACACTGCAAACACTTACACCAACAAACAGAGTCCCGTCAAAAGGTTTGTTAATTATTACTTACCAGGAATTTATTTAGTTTTAGAGTTAAATTATTTTAGTCTTGGATATTTAAACTATAATTTTCTATGGTACGACTTCTTTGAAAAAGTATTTGTATAAGTATCATAAAATAACTTTCTCATAAAAAACCCATATCTCATAAAACGCTAAGTTTTTATGCACATGTTCATGAGTCGCTTTAGATGCAATGGCTTGAACTGAATCTTTGGATTTTGAGTTCTTTTTGGCTATAAAGCGATGTATAAATGTCTAGTTATTATTATTATAACGCTACTTAAATAAGTTTCGTTCGATGAAAACACTAGAACACTATCTGATAGCTCTAGAACAATCTGATTGCTCTAGAAAATTATCTTTAAACTCTGTTTTATCCAGAATTCTCCAGAACATTCTCAGCATAATCTCAGTAATTATTATCAATTTTCTAAAATTATCCTCAAATAACTCCCACATTCCTGAAGGTTAAACAACCGTGGAGGCAGTACACGTGGAATTTCCAACAACCGGGGAGGAAATAACAACTTCAAACGAAACAACAACAACAACAACAACCAGGGACAGGGTCAAAGAAACAACAACAATAACAACAACTTAAGAAGCCACAAGTTTAATAACAGGGTATGTACATTTTTACTTACATTTTTACTTTATTTAATAAACGTTACACATAATAATGTCAGGCCACACTCCACTGAACTTATCTTCATTAAAATGTAATGAATACCTACTATACTTTAAATTAACTTTATGGAAAAGCTCAGTACGTGTCATATTTGTTAAGCATGGTGTTATATATAATGTATTCTGGGTAAAATTATCTTTATCCCGGTTGTTGCGACAAGTAAAAATGCTCTTATTAGGGAAAGGAGATTACTCGACGTTTCAATGTAACTACATCGTATTCATGATCTCAAATTATTTGTTATATAGTAGTGTTGAAAGTATTAAAAGTATTAATACTTTCAACACTACTATATAACAAATAATTTGAGATCATGAATACGATGTAGTTACATTGAAACGTCGAGTAATCTCCTTTCCCTAATAAGAGCATTTTTACTTGTCGCAACAACCGGGATAAAGATAATTTTACCCAGAATACATTACAACAATGCGACTCATAAATAATACTCCAATCCGGATTTTACATGAACTTATTCAGTTATATATAATGTTATTCCTGAATGTTTTCTAGGATCGATCTATGGCCGTTATCTGATTTTGATTTGAAACTTTTACAAATAGTACATAATATACAATACAGCAAAAAGAATACAAATAAACGACATGATCTGAGGCATTATGTTGTGTAAAAGTCGTAGAAACATATCTATCTATCCTTGTAAAGATTGATTGATCATCCAATTTTTTACATCTCACTCACGGCATAACCTTGAGCTTGGTGGACATTTCATCCAGAAAAGAGCGTATGTATAAACTTTGAATAAGTTATATTTTAATAAATGTTCTGTATTAGATCAAGATCTGAACAAATCTCTGTTACATAATATATTGCACAACCGTTACATTCTCGACCAAACTATGAAATTATCTGTAACCACGCCTACAGACAGTGCCAAGCCCTCGCGGTATTACTATAATATTCTATATTATTACATATAATATAATATATTAATAAATAATGTATTATAATAAATAATATATTATAATAAATACTATAGACTATTAAACCTCCCTTCCTGGCATACTATTACATCCGACAACAGGGTCCATTGTACCTGCACACACGTCATAATACAGACCCGCCCAAATTTAATACGGTACTTTGGAGCAGGAGTACGGTCAGATCACGTGACATAGTTTGAGATCACGTGACAGAGTTTAAGATCACGTGATCAGATTTATCAGTCTGCAGTAATGATCGCCCCCGTGAGATACAGTGTATAAATCCGCTATATTGCAAGCAGAACATCTGTGCCAGCGTACCGGGAAACTGGATTTTTGTTGTTGGTTTACCAGTCCGACATCTTTGAGAAATAGAATTATTTCGAAAAATTCGGGATCCGCTCGAGCAGGCTGGTAGGAAATATTGGCTGGGATAAATGTTAAACGGTGTACATCTACAAAGTTAGTGCTGCAAACATTATACCTTTTCAAAAAGATCACGCTTCTTTAGCGTGCGTGCTTCAAAAGAAGAGAGGAGGGATATTATTCTGACTCTTGACTGATCACGTGTCGAGATTCAGAATAATATCCCGCATAATCTGACCATGTCAGGGATAAACAGGCCCGGTTTAGCGGGCACCATTTGTTTACCCGTCAAAAGGCAGCTTTATAACATAATAATATGGTCAATATTACACGTGACCTTGGAGGACTGTTGTGATTGGTTCGTCCACGATCACGTGCTTACTGCAAGTATTCTGATTAGCTGATTTGTAGAAATCTTGCGGAGGGACGAACATGAAAAGAGTTGTGATTACAGTAAGGCGTGATACAGCACAATGTCGCAAGATCACGTGATGATCATTTGAGATGACACGTGATCGTCATAATAAGGTTCCCACCATTTCATAATTCAGATCAGCCGCTAATCTCCTTAAAATTTGACCTCATTACGAGTATTAGCGGGTATTGTACAGTAAGGATTTATCTTGTACAGTAAAGATTTATCTTGTACATTAAAGAGTTATCTTGTACAGTAAGGAGCAGAATAGATGGTGACACTTTGTGATTGAAAGAAAATATATCCCATGAGAAATCCCAAAAAACATGATGAGATTACCATTTCTGAATTCTGATTGAATAACAACACCGAGCCTAAGTTACAGATCCCCAACATCATCTTGAACTACTGCCCCAGTCCCCAATACCCAATCCCAATGTTGGTAAGAAAATCAGGTACGATATTTCCACGTATCAAGTTCTACACTTAAGTTTGGGCCAGATATCAGGTACTAGGTTTCGATCTTTGGAGCGGGTAATGAAGCTTCAAGTTTGCGGTGGGTGATATTGTAGACTGTAGTTATATTAAGATGGTGTTAATAAGGTGATAAGTTGTGGTTTAGTCTAGGTGATAGTAGAAGTATAGCAGGTGATATCGTACTGGAGATGAAGAGGCGGTTACAGTAAAATATGGTGTTTACTAATCTACACTCAAAGTTACTTTTTTGTGCGTGTAATTACAGATGTGTTGAAATGTAGAGAAACTTCTAGAAACTACAAGAAAGGGAAGTTGTTCTCCCTTACTTAGATGTGCACTACTGGTCAACTTCTTGACGGTAAAAGTAGCTCGGATTTGGGCTTCTTGCTAAAAACTAGTACTACAGTATTTAGACACAGGACTAATTTGTATGATATTATTGTGAAAAAGGACCTATTTAAGAGACAAATTTATTTGAAAAATGAAGATGATTTTACCAACTTAGTGAACTTAGCAAGAGATAGATTAGGATGGAGGAGTTTATTTACTTTGAGACATATTGAACGAATGAGTCTTCGTAAGCGTAAATAGGCCAGCACTTTGCTGAGCCTCTTTAGGTGCTCTTTTGTTTATAGATGTTATTATATATATATAATATACAGTATTTTCTTGTTGTTTTAGAAACTCGAAAATGTACTAAGTTATCTGAAGCTGAGATCTGGAATTGAAAAGATCCAGTACGAGCTATGGTTTCCCCGTTCCCTGCTGCAAGTCTGGTATTATATTTATACAATATATTGTATAATGTATATTGTATATTGTATTTGGCCAGATTCAAATTGTGAAACCACCCTTTCAACTCTATCATCAACCTGTACCTGTGTGATCAGAATGTCATTTTTATGTAGATTTTATCCAAAATTCTACTCGTCCGCTTCGGCTGAAAGAAGTGACCTCCAATTCAATCCTAATCAGTTTGTCTGTTTTAACTTATCAGAGGCCACATTGTTAGCTGTGGCTGTCCATCCCAAACTAATAGCCCAATTTCCCGAAGTAACATTCCCAACACACGGTTTTTGAAGAATTAAAGCGCCAAAACGAGATGACAATAACCAACAATAACCATCAATTGGGCATGTTCACAGTGAGGCTTACGTAGATCACGCACAATTCCACAACTTCGTAACCATGGTAACATTGCACACTAGTTACTCCGCAGACAGCTGGGTATGTTACAAACGTAGTATGCTTGGTATTCCAGCAAATATTTTAACATAATTTAATGGGTGAATGTGTGGAATTTAACCAATGTGGTGTTAGTCCAGTGACAGAAATCCAAAAATTGGCTAGGAAGCGTATCACGTGACTGGAAAATTGCTACACTTTTTACAAGTTACAGTATAAGTACAGTCTTAGTACCTGTGGCCTGTTCAGCTGTGATGTTTAATACTCCTTTGTTTGCCATTTTCGACCAAAAAAAGTCTCCCTCCATTTTATCCATTTTAGCCTATATCCATTTTATCCATTTTATGACAGTGGCACCCCCCCCAACACTCAACATCTTATCAAATTAAATACTAATACTTTTATATGTTACAGTACCACTGATGATCTCAACTATTTTTAAGTGCATAAAATATTCATTTTCGTATATACACTTCCTGTAACTTTAAGTAACCAAAGTGCATACCTAGTTGGACATGTTTTATAGTTTTTTTTGAGTATTTTCTCCGGACACTTACCATGACGTCACTTGACGTTCTCTTAACACTCACACATAACATGAGTAATGTTCTCTACCTGTCTCGTGTAGTATTGTCAAACCCAAGCAACAGACTGGTCCACCACAGGTTGTTGTGATCTGACTTTTGTGTGGGGGAAATGTTCTAAGACTGTTCCCGCACCCTCACAAAGTAAGTCAAACCAACAGTACGAAGTAATTTTATCAAATGTTAAGTTTTTAATCTCCAAAAATTTTTAACCGTAACCCTCAACACGGTGGTTTGCAAACACTGTATGTTTCTTAAAAAGCTCGGGTTAAAACTGGTTACTAGTATATAAATATAAATGGTAAATCCATTAGAAGATTTCCTTAACCGCCGGTAAAGTTCATAAAAGTTCGTTCCTGTTACTTCACTCTTAAATTAAAATATATAAACATAGACTAGAACTAGCTATCTTGTAATAACCTTTTGTAAACCGGATAAATTATGTTGGCACTAAAATGGCACTGTTTACATTACTCTCAATTCTAGAAGCCAGCTTAATGTACTGGAGACTTTCTGTTTACAGAAATATTTGAATAATATGACGAATGTTGTCCGTCGGATTGATAGCTCAAAATGTGTGTAATATGGATTTAGCGGCCGATAATTATTAAAGACATAGCCTGTTGGCCCACTCTCGACTCCCCAAATCGATTTTTACACACACTAGAAGCAATGTTTTTCATCTTCTCATCACAGAATCTTTTTATCATTTGTTAGAGTATTTAAAAAATACCCTGCCTTTCTGGGGCCCCTGTTCTGCGGTACGCACCCTTATAACCTCTATAACCTCACGAACTTTCTATAGTATAAATTGTAACTAGATCAATCTCATGTTACAGTATAAAATACATTCTCACTTTTCAAACTAAGTGCCTAATATAATTAAGATAGAACATCTAAACATTTTATATTTCCTGTTCATAGATATAGATTATCAGTACAAAACCTGACCAAGTTTAGCTCAATCCATACTGGCCGCTTCGAATATGAAGTTTAAATTACCAAATATGTGGTTTTTCTGTGTGACCTCATTGTAAATTATTTGGATATATCCGCATACTCACAACTATCCATTGTGTCTTTCTATTACACTATCTGTTTTACTCTGGCAATTCGTCAGAGTCAATTAAGTTTGAAACAAAATCTCATATATTGAGAGGACCGAATTCAATTTTGTTAACGCGCGGCAGCCCACACACACTTCTAATACCTGCATATCTTCACATTTAATGTTTTTTTTATAGAAATTCATTCCACCATCCTGTAGCACCATGGGATTTGATAATACATTCAATTCATTTCTTTAAAAGCTTAATAGATACTAGGGAAAAATCATGTTTTAACGCCGCAGCCCTTCTGCATACACTTCATCAAATTGAAACTTCCTGACTAGTTCTACCGTTAAAAAGTCTGACCTGTGATTAAGTTGGATACAAAACGGATGATATAAAACATATACAGCAGTATCAAACAATTATGGTAATTGCTGAGGTAAATGAATGAAAATAGTAAAAACCGCTCCATTGTGGCCACAAATCACCAAATCCTTGATTTTAGGGTATAACACTTTCCTTCAAACTAATTAACTCGTAATGTACCATTGAACTGTAAAGAGTTGAATAATATTGATTTATAAACAAATGGTAGCAGACTTAAAAATTGTTGTTTCTGACAGTGAACAAAGCATTTCAAAAAAAATTAAAGCTATCAGATTATAGCTTACATAACTATGATTAAACCTTTTTATTGTAACCTCAGAGCTCAAAGGTACGAAATAATGAAAGTAGAATAGTGTTCTAAGTATAGTAAACAGCCAGTTTTACAAACTCACAATATAATAACTAAACACTCTAAAGTAAATGTACAACTGAGTCCATGTTTTGAAAGAATGCTTGTAAGCGTTACAGTTAATTAAGACATCTTAAGCATGACTTTTGTAGAAAATGCTTCAAACATTGACTAATTCTGAAACATTTTAATGCTTGAACCTCTGGCTGCTCCTCCTTATTTGTTAATTCCACCCCAAATTAAAAATCCCCCTCATCATTACCCAGTCCTCCACTAAACATGAAATCCACTAAAAAAAATCACGTACTCTACTTTTATAGACCATTAACCCACATCCTCCTAACCGTCCATACGCGCTGACTACAGCCCCTAAACCGACCCCAAGCCGCTATAACAACAGCCCTCGTAACCACCCCTACCGCTGTACTACAGCCCTCTTAAAAAACCGACCCTAGCCCTGTACTAACAGCCCTCTTAACCGACCCCCTACCGCTGTACTACAGCCCTCTTAAACCGACCCCTAGCCGCCCTATACTACACCCTCTTAACCGTTCCGAGCCCTTACACTCAATACTCAATTCATTTAACCGCCCAACTGTTGTTCACGTAATACTCAAGTTTATTTAACATTAACACCCGTCCAATAAAAACAATGGAAGATACCTACAAGAGACCGCAGGGTCCCTTCCCTTACATGCATAGTGTTTGTCCAATCTAGAGGTTTAAGATTATTAGCAATAACCTATTATAATAAATTAAATAATTATAAGTCGGTTATAGTCTGGGGTGCATTGGCTTTGGGTTTTTAATAGGTAACAAGACCTCCCATGCCCCAACTTAATTCTCCCTGTTTTTTGCCATAAAAAATCAAAACCAAGCTACTTACCCTATATTATTAATATATTCTATTGCATTTATTGAGGACGAAACAAAGGAATTTCATTTTAATGTATTAGAAGCATATATAAGGGGATGGTGGAGATATCTTAAATTTATTTTGGACCCATTTTTTGAACCACTATAAATAATGTAACCTTAGAAATTGGTCAAAGAGTCTTTAATGGAACCATAGTCCATATCAAATCAGCTCAGCTCTCTCCTGCTAACAGGCTTTTACCTGGTAAACTGGAACGCAACGATCGCTGATTCCGTTCAAAACTCCCACAACTTTTAACTATTACTCTATACTACACTCAAAACAAGTGTGCTGGCTAACTTTTGATTCAGCAAAAATTCAATATTTTTAAACTGTGTATTTATCTGCAGAATGCCCAGCAGTAACCTATATACTCGTACCCTACCACGACTACTGTGCCCTCTGGCTCTAAAGAACTTGAAATTACAGAGAATAAACAATACTGTTGATTCCATACAAAGTCAGTCCTCATATCAGAAGTATTGCAAATGTTGAAGAGGTAAGGAACGCGCCCCTGGTTGGGACAAAAAACACTACTAA